ATACATAATGACTATTATGTATATATATATTGTATATTAATATGTACTAGTATAATATATTATATATATTCATTATAGTTATTATATATATATACATGTAAATATTGTATATACATATACATATAGAATGGAACCATGAGTAACCAATAATGTCCGACCAAATGTCAGACCGAAGCCATGGCGAAATACCGAAACTTTTTCATCAATTTAGAAATTCAGCAAAATGAGTTTCTCTCTGAACTGTTTGTTTGTAAATGTCCAATCAGACCATTTAGACAGCCTGCTGCACGCTTCCACCGTAATTACATCGCATAGATGATTTCAGGATGTAGCTACGAAGATTCATTCGCTATCTCGAGATACGAAAGCTGTAAAAGTAGGCCGCAACGGGACTTGCCTTTCATCTCAGTGTGTCAAGTTTATACTGTGTGCTTTCTTCTACACCTTTTCTGTATCTTTCACTAGCGAAATCGATTTTTCACTTCGGTATACCATCTCCAGCGCTACATAGTACAGACACTGCTACTTCCTCTGTCCATGACAGTCATAGCTATGCGTGTCTTCGAGTCTGTTTATTACGATAATTACAACGTGTCTCGAAACGTTGAAACAGTACCAAACCTTGACAATAATGACCAGTTCCCACAATCAATATGTTACAATCACCACCAGTCGATATAGAATTGATATTTCGTTCTTATTTTTGTTTCCTTTTCCTTGTCATAATAACTGGCATCTAGTAATAACAAGGTGGCGATCGAAACTTTCCTTCCTCAAAATGGATAATTTTCATGTGTGTATTAATTACGATAATACGATAACACCTTCATTATGTTTCCCACGGTATCGATATAACGGTAATAATATCGGTATTAAATTCTATGAGTTTCCTCTGATGAGAAAATTTCAATTGCTTTCTTTCATTCTGAAAAAACCGCTTTTATTTTTGGGCGACATCTCTGAACCGTATAGGAGAAACAATCATTTGTCAGAATGTTGATATTCCTCGATGGTTGGTTACCTCCGTTAGAAATTTATCACTGGCCTTGGTAGACGTGGAATAACAAGTGAAGAAGACCGGCGAATACGTCGGTGAACAACCTACATGCTCATAAATGCATATCGACGTTTTGCAAAGTCGAAGTTTTAAACGTCAAACAAATGGAGCATACCGGACATAGCACAATTGCAGATCGCGCCACCGTGTGATCTAAGAGTAATTACTGAACTGGTCAAAGTGAAAGTTGTGGTTAGAATACGCAAGCGTGCACGCGCGATGCTCTTTTTTACAAAAAATCTCGGTTGTTTTCGTTTCGATGGTCATTCTATTATCAAATATTCTATTACTCAAAATAATAATTCAAAATATAATAATACATGTTATATGTAATAATCTATAATGAATATAAAAATGCATGCAATAATATATATTATACATAATAATATGTAATGTGTATATATATACATAATGACTATTATTATGGTATCAAACAACGTTGATTTACCTCGCCCGTAAGCAATTTGATAGTCTCTTGCGTAACGTCAGTTTTCGGTTGCTTTTCATGATTGTTGTTGTGGGATTCATCAGCGTTCGATTGCTTCTCGCTTTGGTCATTTACTTCTTCCACGCCTGCTAGTAACTTCATAATCAAAGAGATTCAGATATCTTTAAGTCTGTAAACAAACGAGAAATATATTCATAAGATCTTAGAATATGTTAATTTATAATTTATGTATACCCACAGTTGTATAGAACCGCACACATTCGTTTTAATTATCGTCAGAGAATCAATATATGTGTCAATTACAAGTTATTTTTCTCTTTAATGTTATTTACATAATTTCTAAGACCTAAATACTAGCTTATTGCGTCACTGTTTTTTTGTTTATTCCGAAAGATATCTATGTGTTATTGAAACATAATCAATAAACAGAGTAGACCAATGAAGATTCCTAACAACTATTAATAAACTTCTAATTTAATATATTTCGGACTACCGATACAAAACAACGATATATTACGTATAATGTGTAAATAACCTATATAATACAACTTGAAATGTTCCCTTGGTTATTTTGATGTTACCTAACATATCAATTTCGAAAATAACAAACACGCATTTCCAACACACCGAATACGAAATTACACTATACACTTCCACTTTTCTTAACGCTATTACGTAATTAAAATGTAAGCATAAAGAAATGGCCAATTGAATAGTGTACTGCTAAAGAAATTCTTAAATCGAATAAAAGCACAATCAAAATATAACGTTTATTTCATTATCCTCGTTAATGCATTCGAGTTTCATTGCATTCATTCGTATTCATCCACTCATGATTTTCAACTTCTTCTTTGTTAGCTTCAACAATCTCTGTGTGCTTTATATCAACTAGCACTGCAGCAGCATTTCTACCGCAACGACCGCTTTCGAGATGTTTTTGAACCTTCTCATCGAAGGAAGTCTCGTGCACGCGACTATCCTTTTTGCACGCGAATCCCTTGCAAGAAATAAATTCTGTAGAACCGACACCAGATGTCGATAAAAAGATATCGTAAAAGTTCGCTCTTTCTTGCACGGAATTATGGGTGGAACTAGAAATCCGTGCCATCTAGACGTAACTTGCTAAACGTCGGATGGAAACAACATAATGAGAAAATTACAAACTGTAGCAAATGAGATACATTTCTAAAGTCTCGGCTTTTCACTCGGACATTACCAGTGAATGCATACATTGTACATAGAAAGGAATATGATACCACTAGACTTTTTGTTCGACGCAAACGATTCTTTTCGTCGTAACCTTCCAAAACCCGTTCGCAAAGCAGTATTTTACGATGGTCTGGCCATTTCACGTGTTTACAAGATATATGTTCACTCTCTCTCGTGCACCCGAACAATCTTTCGCATTTAATCTACGAGAAAGTTGAAGGCACTCTAGGGAACCTGTAATACTTCTGTGCTTCCGTTTTGTATTAGCCATAGTCGGTAATTATTTTCTCCAAGATCGACAGGGTTATGGGGTTAATATTCACGTTAACAAGACAATCATTTACAGTACTTGTTTAATTTTTTTGTACTTTAATAATTTCTTTAGAAAATGTTTCCTCTATTGTTTATTTTATCCTATATTATCAAATTCGATAACACGATGTACGATATTTGATAAGTAAATTTAATACGATATATGAATTAAATTTAGTGTTTTAAAGTGCAAAGTACGCGTACAGTGTTGAACATATAAATATCTAAAAATGAAATACTTCAAAAATATAAATAATTTTATACAGTCGACTTATTTAACTTTCTGATTTCCTAAATTAATTGAACCTAAGTAATTCCATAGATAATCAATTTGACATTACACATTCCTATTAATATTGAGAAATATTTTCCTCTTTACGTAATAAAAAAATTATGCAAAATGTAAAATAATTCTTATTACTATGTTCACATCGGTTTCACTTTTTAGTCCACATAGTAATGTACGTTAAAATTTATTCAAAATTAACATATGTATATAAGAAAATTACAAATCTTAAACTATACGTAAGCTATAACTTCCTTTTCTTTGTTCACAGCGACATTCGTGCATATAAAATTAATGTATAAGGTAATTTGACAAGGTAAAAGAAGAAACTCATATTTTAAATATTTCAGAAGTAGAGGAAAATATTTAAGGAAGGTCATGTAACATAACACACTCGGCAATATTTATGGCCGTTTACTAATACAACAAATAGTCCCAGTGTTCATTATTACTTAGCGGCAAAGTTATCGTTTTGTTTGAAAAGCTGGCAACGGACACGTAGACGTAGAAAATATGATTCGTTTACGTTGTCATGTTATGCTTGGTCTTGTAACACAATGTAATTTGTTAATGAAGACTTTCAGTCAAGAATCAGACACTGGCTGAATACGTGCGTTTGTTCGTAAACACAAAGCGTATTCTCGACAAGTGAATGCGACACTGCGTCGAATACGTACGCTAATTGCAATTCCAGTGTAATATACCACTTTACAATGATTTAAAACGTTCCCCTTTGTTAAGCCCGGACAATAATCTCGAACAACGTATCCGACTAGTGTTACTTTTAATGCTACATACCACTTGGCTGCGACGTGTCGTCTGCTCGCGAGGCTCTCGCGATACGCGTTTATCGAGCGATCGCAATCAGCGTTTTGAAAAGGTCGCGGCGGATGCAGGAAGTCAGTCGGTCGTCGATCTATCGGCACATTCTTCCGACGGTCGTGTATCCACGAGCAAATCACCTTATCCACCGATCGCCGAGCATGCCGAGAGCAGCACTGACACTGAATAAACCGCACCGTAACCAGACGGTCCAAAGCGCCGCTCGATAGATCGAAACACGTTCTCGTACTACGGACTAGCGATGGGCTCGAGTTTTTATTATACCCGGTCTTCATGCGAGTCTTAGTCCTTTGTTCTTATGCTTATACGTTCGTTTACCTTTACTCACTGTGGTTGGCAGTATTGTGGTCGTGCTTCGTAAGAAGTTGGAAGTTATTTTGCTTGTTATTATTGCAGTTATGATTCAGGTATACTCCGATGGGTTATTAACTTTCCTTGAGTTTAATGTTTTTCTTAGAATATGCATTGTAACGAAAGTTAAGTAAAGAAGTAAAGGATTAACAACGAGTATTAAAGTATTATACTTTATGTAATTATGAGAATATTAAATATTTCATTGATTAATATTAATATTTGTTATTAAATCATCTTTTCCTTTTTTAAGATTATTTATTTCTACGTTTCGAAAATGCACATGATTTTTAATTGCTATTACTTCGTTGTTTATATACATATTTTTTATATTTAAATGATATATCAAAATTATTTATGTAAGTATAATTTAATGATACAAATAAAATTATACCAGTGATAGGAAGGTATATGTTGCTGAATAATGAGGTTAAGAATAATTTTCTAAGAATATTTTTGGATTAAATAGTTTTGAAGGGATAAAAACCGGTTAGCAACAGATTCAAATCTGTTAACACCGTTTTAATAGAACACTTATGAATATTATCGGTCTACGTACAAGTTCGTTTTCTCAAACTTTCTATTCTCCTTATTATACGATTTAAGATAAAAAGAACATTTTCCAGATTTTATGAAAATGCTAAGTGTATTGTTACTATAATATAAAATTGTTCAATTATTAAGCTTGGTCATTTTAATTAGCATTTATGTATAGTGATTAATACATTATATTTAAAACTTTACAAATATCGAGAAAAATGTTTTTTATTGGCTTAAATACCATAAGTAGGTCAGACTACTATTGGTGGCCTACATATGTGCGTATAAGATGTCCTTTATTTTCTACAGAAGGAAAAGATTAATTATTAAGAAAATGATGGATTTTATAAATGTTATGCTTTAATAGACGTTAGAAAGCATCACAATTTCGATTATTATTCGACTTAATTTATAACGAAATTAAGCATTTTCAATCTATAATCTTACAATTTATATGTATTAAAAAGATGTATAGCACAAATAAACGTAATATAATGTGATTTGAAGAAGTTTCAAACAAAAATTTCATTTTACAACGGATATATTGTCGTAATTTAATGATTTCTTTATTTAAGCCTTAAATTTTAATAATGCATACATTTTTGCTATAAATATGATACCAATTACTACATATTCATACGAAGTTTTTAGTTTTCTATAAATTTTTACAAAAATTACCGTAGCATCCATTATGTGCTTTTTTGTAAACAACTAAATTATATTACATGTTTAAAAATCGTTATAGGAATAAATTTTAACCTAATTGATATTTAATTTTCTAATGTGAGAATAGCGAACAGTGTAATTAATTCGCAAAAGCGAATTTATGTTTTACAAATTTAAAACCATTTTAGTAAACGTTCAGTTATTATTAATTATTACTGGTATAGATTTGATATTATTAATTATATTATCTACATCGATAATGTGTTATTTAATAGTGACAATTGACAGCTAATTTGAAATTTCTTATAATCGTTTATATTAATATCATTCGTCTTAATAAAAACTCTTAATCAATCTTATTAATTCGAAGAACAAAAGTTTCAGATGAATTTTAGCTAGATCTTTGTTTCTATTCAATTTTTTCCAAGAGACTTGAACTTTGTTGATTGGTCAAAGATAGGCTTATCTCCATCACTAACTATGCTTCTTCAGCAGGTTTCTGCTAACACCGCGGTAAAATAGGCTTACAGCGGTCAAGAGCAGTCAGAGCAAAAGGGGGAAAGCATTGCCACTTTCACCGTTCTACTGTTTTTTCATCATATCTAAAGATTTTACAGCAGATATGAGAGGCGTCCATCCTTTGTGAAAGTCTGACAAAGACATCTGCTGGTTCAAACATGTACTTCTAGCTACAATTATATGAAGGTTCTTCGTTTATCTCAAGTTCGTTACACATTGTGTACGATTGTAAAACTTTGGACCAATTAGTTACGCCAATTTTACTTTTTAATTTCTTTTTACTCTAGAATTTTTAAAATCAAACACCAAAATGTGTCAATAATTACAATTTTTTACAAAAATGAAAATTTGATTTGGAAAATTAAACTGTCTATGTTACGTTTCTAGATTAGATTAAAGCACATCTTGCAGATTTTACATGTGTAAAATATTCAAAGAAAAGATAGGGATACAAAATTTAAAGCTACATTGAATTCATAAGAGAAGAAGAATATCAAGATATTTGTTTATCGCTGCTGGTCGTGGTTATAAGTGATTGGAATGGATATACCTTATCATCATGTGAAATTTATTATATAAAGGGCTAATGCTAAAATAATAATAATTAATTATAATATGTATAATAATAATTACACATGAGATGTGATAATAATAATTAATTACACATGAGTAGTTTTCCTTCTAACAGAGATGAACAATGATCCACTTTCGAGGCAAATATTTAAATACCTGATTTGCCGCGCATTTACTTGTAATTAAATTACAGCAGTACACGTTCGTATAAGACAAAATCGACATTAACAAGTGATATACCATATTACATACTAATCGATTTGTCTTTTCTAGGCTTCGTACTTGCTCCGTGAGCTTGCCATATTTTAAGCACCGATTACATTCAAAACATGCTCGTTAACGCACTTTACACCGTTCGCAAGACAAAATCGTTTACTTACTTTCTAATTAAGTGATCATCTTTACGATATTTCGGATTGTATTCGTTATCTAGGATTAGAAGCCGAAACACTGCTAGCACCGACGAGAGGTGCATTGTTTCTAGATTAGTCTGAACAAACTAATGACAAACAACATGTTGGCGCGATGACAACATGTCTTTTCATTTTGTAAAAATTCCGTTAAATAGATGTGGGGAACAATTTGAAATCTCACTGTAATCCTTTGCAGCCACAATACATTGAAAAATGTGTAACAATTGGAAACAAATTGTGATATTTGAGGAAACTAAGATCTAATTAACGGTCATTTTGCTCTCATGGTACAAGAGTTTGTAATACAATAGTAGGGCGTGAAGGTACGTATTTATATTGTGGATGAAAAGGAAACTTAAGACAAATACTAAATAATAATAAAAAATTATCGTTTAAAGAAAAATTTACACGCAAAACAATAATAAACGCATTGATTCGAGTAAAACATAGCGACGGGCGAATTTTTAATTCGCAAGGTACGACGCATGACTTTATTGATAATATAGTGACGCACTATTATAAAATGAATTCAAAGGATTTTATAAATCCATTGTTTAGCTCTAGGGCTCATTGAAACATTATTTATCTATTTTATAACGCGTTTTACGTAAGAATTCAAACAAAATGTATTTCGCTCTCATCATTTATCGATAAATAGTGACAACGATGACTACATTTTTCATATGTAAATAAAGTCAAACGACGTCAAATTTACGTCATACGAAGTTATGAATGATTTTGATTGATATTAGAATCGCACGGGGCCAAGAGCGGCAGGTACTTATGTCGCGGTCAGTTAAGTCACCAAAACTTTTTATTATTTTGTGTACGTTAAAGTATTAAGGTGCATAGTCCAACCAATTTATCGATTAACGATATTCATAATTAAATTACTACACACACACAGGAACCAAACTATAAATTTTGAGTTACTCGTAGAATTTGTTAGATAGGTAAGGAATTTTAATAATTGAACAAAACATACAGGTATAGTTTCAGTAGTATTTATATATAGCCCAGTCTTACAAAAAAGTGACCGCATCGTTCCAAGGGACGGGCAAACATTGCTCACTTGCGTTAAAACTAACAATCGGTGTGCTGTCAGTTCAAGGTTTTCATTTCACTGAGAAAGTAGGTATATAATATTACGATATTATAAGCACAATAATTAGAAATTAAACTATTAAATTGAAATACAAATCCTACTTTCACTCTCCTATATTTTACTTCCATTTTTATTTATGAAAATCAAAGCGGACATGTTTCTTTTTTTTTTTCCTGATTTATATATATATATAATGTTATGTGACCACCTTTCAAATTGCCTCAATTGCCATTGTGACAACGTCTCAATATTCGCAGGCCTCTCGGGACGAAGGGAACGTCAGATTGATCACGTTTGTCTGAGAATTCTTCGAGCCCGAGTACTCGCTTAAATTTTAAAGTAGACGAGCCATAGCTAATTTCAATCGGTGCTGATGCATAAGTGGCAATAGGCTGGGGCTGCTTGTTGGTGGTTTTTAGATGTTGAAGTCAACGGAGATTGGCGCATCACATGGCATACTTGCGCGTCCATTCACGTGCCAATTCATTGTACTTCTCCCTGTCAGTTTTATATAACCTTGCTATCTCTGGTACCAAAGGATCATCTGGATTTGGATCGCAGAGCAAAGAGCATATTGATAGTAACACTGAAAAAAAAAGTTTCTCTCTTAAAAACTATATTAAAACTTTTCATTTTATAGAAATTCAATTCTATGCTCATTTTTCCGATCTCATATTTGAACATTTGTACACACCCTTTGATATGGTAAGTGCTGGGGACCATTGCGATCTTAAAATATCCAAACAAATACTTCCATTACTGTTGATATTTGGATGATAAATTCTGGTTGTAAAAGCAACCTGTATGCACATATATAAAATTAATATAACACTTGCAAATTATACAACAAAGTAACATTAAAGAAGTAAAATAATATACCTTAGGTGGTTTGAATGGATAATCTGTGGGAAAATGAATTGTAAGGAAAAATACTCCTCCTTGGTATGGACTGTCAGGCTGAAAATGATGTATACATCTGATTATATGATATTATTTAATTTTGATTAGTTTGTACATAATGATATTTTTTAACATTTCTAATGAAAGATTTAACTTTCATAATGTATATATATACGTATACAAAAAACATATAAAAGAATAATGTTATTTAAACTATATTTAACATTTAGTAGTGTTTAATAGAGAATTAGTTTGCAATATTAATATTAATAGAAAATAATAAATATAATTACAGCAAATGAAAAACAAATGCTGATGACATTACATAAATTTTACATTATAATAGCATTATATGATTTAATAGAATTAAACGTGATTTGTAAAATCTTGTTGAAATATTATATAAAATATTACATGCATTGGGTTATATACTTTTAAATGGAATTATTAGTCATAAATAGCACAATATAAATTTCATTATTTGGCAATTACCTTTAAATATCATAGTGAAAGCGAAGATATTTGAAAATAATTCTCATAAATTATATTTACATGTACATTAATATTTCTAACTATGCACTCTTAAGTTGATAAATATTAATTCACTCAATTTAAATACGAGTATTAAAATCATTATATACTTACTGGTCCCATAATAGTTGCTTGCCAATGGAATACTGAAAGCAAGTACACAATTAAATGTAAACATCATACTTTACCATAAATCATAATTGATCGCCATAAAACTAAAGAATAAATTATGCCAAAAGGCTGCAATTGTAAAAATTAATAAAAATTATTAAATATTTATTCAATACCTTTACTTATTATTTAATAACTTAAATTTCTTTTATAAAAAATAATTAATGTATATATCATCAAGTATTGTAACTTTAATAATAATGATGAAGGCAATTATGATTTATTAATTATGTAGGAATATATAGGGAGTCAAATGCAGATATAATTTCAAAACACTTACAATCGTCTCCTACAGGACCAGCGGAGCATTGTGCAGGTGGATCTCTACCAAGGTCCTGAAGTTCCTGAACATGAAGAGGTTTCAATAATATAAATAAAATATTATTTCAAGAATATATTTAGAAACATAAATTTTATTGAATAATTTATATTTCACATGTAGTTTCTTCAAAGATGTTATTATATACTTCTATATTTAAAGATATTATTTTAAAAGTAAATAGTTTTTTTTTCAGTACAATGAAATGTATCAATAATATATTCTTTTCATGCATTGCATAATAAAATTTGAAGCTTTAAGCTCTATGTATCTGCAGATGTATAGAACATGTGAAATGTGTAAACAAAATCTTCTAGAACATTCTTTCATATATATATATATATATAATAAGAATATATTACCAATATAAAATGAATAAATTTTACATTTATATATATAACATACATATCCATAAATACATAAAATTCCATCATTTATATTGTATACATTAAAAGTTTAGTTCAAACCATTTGTATATGAGATGCTCATTTAAAAACACTATAATGTCGAAGGTAGATTAAATTAAAAGAAAATTAATGTCCATGTTGCAATACAACTAATTTCAAATAACAAATTTATAGTGATTAAACAAATTAGATCAAATGAAAGTTATATGACAAATAAACATGACACAATCAAATATGAATATAAGTTAAAACATTTATGATACTTATTACGTTGTATTAAGAATATGATTGTAGAATCGAAGCTAAAAAGAAAAGTGACTTTATATTTTGCATAATTATTTCAAGAGCAATATATCTGCATCTTCCGAGACTTTTGTCATTCTGCTTCAAATGATGATTTGTTGAGAAATATAATAACTAATATGTCAAATCATTGATATGATTCATGAAAAAGTATATCAATTCTAAATGATTCACTTCATCTTAATATTGTGAGCTACAGTCACATGGTAAAAATTACATTAAACTATGAAACAAATAAATGATGGTCACATAGACAATGCTTAATGCTATTTCTATCCACAAATGGACTATGAATGCACTAATGAAATTTTCGTAATTTCTAAGTTATCTATAGCTTCATGCATATATGTATACATGGGTATACATATATGTATACATAGATGTATGTAATGCACGGTTTTACGTTACTTCCGGCAATTTATCGGTTAGCCACTTAAAATTTTTTTAGATTTTCACTGTCACCGTACCTACGTCCACTGGCACAAAGTGGCACTGTGCAAACGTGCGTAATGCACTATGTCGACATAAACGCGTACGCAAGTAAATCAAAGCACAATCGAAGAATGCAAAAAAAGGGGAAAAGCCAACATGATTTTCAATGCTGGCTCACATTGCTTCACTGCAAAATCGTTAAGGGCGTTCAACTGCATTCGACACACATCACATCAACACCCGACTGTCTTTGTACAATACGAACACCTCTGATCATTCACGTACCTTATTAATTCGTTTTAAAGCCATTTGTTGAACTGTGTGTTGATATTAACCGGCTGAAAACCAGACAGCGATAGCCGCTAGCCGAAGATCTTTGATTAGGGATTGCAAGATGGCTGCCTTCTAAACGTAGCCTTACCGCGTTGGTCAAACCAATGTTCGTGAGTTATTTCAGCACCTTCTCCTTCATATTAAAGCGAAGTATTCTTAATTGCGGCTACAATTATTTTAACAAATAAATTTTATAATAGGATCTTTTGGAGAGAAAATAATATTCTTATGTTTTCTTTTATACCTTTTATTGTGAAATTAAGCCAGAGACTGCACGGATTTCCTTTTATCGGCAACTAGTGGATTTTTAACACTATACTATCATTTCTCGGTAGATGTCGTGATGAAAGGTACAAATGATTGGCCAATGCGCGAGATTAAATGAATTCTGCTCAAATGTACGGTATATACCAGTATTAAACAAAAGTTATTTCGAATAACGAATAAATTTGATTTGTTATGTATAATGAACAAATTAATTAGTTGCTATTTGTTGATGACTAATAAAGTGCATGTATCCATTAAGTTTTTGTTATTATTCGACATTTTTAAATAAAAAAAGTCGAATAAGTTTTCTTTTTATAAATATTGTTTTCATTTTATTTAAGAGTCATTCTTTATTTGAACATGTCATTATAAATATAATAGATGTAAATAATTTATAATAGCAAAAGAAGTTTTTTAGTGGGAGCTGAAAAAGGTATCGACATGTTGAATTTTATGAACACTTTTTTTACACTCATTCATTTAGCGAGATATGTCAATTCTGCGTCCTGATTCAATATATACATCATAACCTATCATGGAAAGAAAAATTAAATAGAAAATTAATTATGTTATACTTTTATGAAATTCTCTTGACAAAACATTATTGTAAATCGTTATTTTAAGATACTTTCACCAAAGTATATATACATATGTAATGTATAAAATACGATCAGTATCTGTTTCTTTTCATTTAAATGAAATAAGGAATTGAAATTGAATAATAAATAAAGAAATAAGGAATACATATCAAATAATAAATAAACGAATAAGGTACTGAATTTGTATAATGAATGAAATTTTATTAATAAATATATATTTGAATAACGACTAACACTAGTATATACTGTGTATATTTGTATTAAGTATTCGCATTAATTTAACAATGATAAAATAATTTTGAAATACCTTCTATGCGGTTGTCATATTGCATTGTTTCATTTCTTTAAGGCACGTATCCAGTAACTAACCTAAAATAATGAGATACGTGTTTTGGAATCATTAATTTAAAATAAGAAAGAAATGTAAGAAAGAAAAAATGCATTACTATTACATGAATTACACATCTTATATGTATTCACCTTAAATATCACATGACTAGTTCTATGAAAATATTTTTTAACTACATTATATGATTCTATATTAACAACATTATATATGGAAAAACAAAACAAATACGTTTATTCCAATTATGATATTAGGTTAGATACAGTCAAAAAATTAACAAGTTATATTGAAACATAAATTTATATTTTAATATTATCGAACATAAACTATCATTTCATAGTATACTTTTGTTATGGCTAATGATAGAAGAAAAATACCAGGTTGTTATTGCCTTAAACAAGAATTGTATTGGCAGCAACGAAAGAAAGATCAATGCAAAAGGAAAAGACAAACATTCGTATATAAACCGGAGGAGGAAATGTGGCATGAACCATATTTAAGAGACTTACGAAATGAGTTTTCAGCTATATCTATTCCCTGTGATTCAAAGATCGAAATGCCATGGAAGGATATTGTGTTACCAGCAGCCGGCATGAAAATTCGTCAAGAAGTTTCACTTACTCCACTGAGTGATCGTAATGGACAAATGGATGATAAAGACGGTGGAAAAGAACCAGCAGAAAAGGAATCTATGGGAACTATGAGTCTACCATGGAAAGATTTAATCATTACTGAAACGGTTCCATCAAAACAGGATCATCCTGACAGTTGTGATTCTACGTTGGAAATTCCGTGGAATGATCTTGTACTCGAAAAACCAATAGATATACAACCAGTGCAGGAAGAGGCTTGTGTTACTGACGATGTTGAGATTCCATGGAATGACATTTTAGTACCACGAAATATTGTGATTGAATCACAAAAAAAGAAGCATCCTTCCTCAAAGTATCCACCTCGTTCGATAGCAAAAAATGATTTTAAATATTGTGTTAATGTTGCACGCAGAACTCACTATACAACTTGTAAATAACTTATAAATTTATGATAAAATGCGATATAAATTCACAAAAGTAATTTTCTTTAATATTTTGATATATTTATTTAAGGTTATATTACGTATCTAAATATTTAACATTTGTTTATTAATTTCAGTGAAAATTTTTATGCTTTACGATGTGCAGTTTTTAAGAATAGAATAAAATCTTTTTCCCGTTCCTACGAATGGTAAATATGTTAATTTGATTTAAATACTTTTCAAAAAATTATATAAAGTAATTGCTCGTTTTTATAGCTGAGTTAACACAGTTTTATATTGATAAGCTAAAGAAACGGTTTTCCTGCTACGAACTATCCCGTATTTAGAAATTTATAAACATACAATATAAAAAAGTATCAGATTGCGCAAGTCCTTACAACTACAAGGTCGTCCAGAATCTTTTTCATTGAGTTTATTTTTAACTGATCGAAGTCGCTTGACGCGCGGTTTATGCTACGACACGGAAATACTGTATCGATACAGAATAAAAATAATATTCTTATCAAATATGTTTGTACTTTTTGTCGTTTTACTTACATTAATAAGTGAGTAGTAACGTATATATAAAACTGAAAATAAAAGTACAAAAATTTGTCTCTGCCTACATTATCAACAGAAGTCAAGTTGCGATTCAAATGAATTACTTGATGGCGCTAGTGTATCGAAACATTGCATCGCCATGATTATTATTCGCTTGGTGTTCGTGATTGGCGGCAGTCGGCACTTGCCAGTGGACGCGAACGGTCGATTGTTCGTGTCGTTGTTGAAAACTGCACATGAAAATGGCGTAGTAAGATGGTATAGTGCCATAATTTTCATCGTATAAACGTACCGTGAGAAGTCTTGAACAGTGAACAAGCGTTTATCATTTGACTTTGTAAGCATTTATAACGATACCGTCCAATCAAGAGCATTGTGATTAATTCGATGGATCACTCATCCTAATAGCAGCGTAAAAAGTGTTGTGTGTTGGTGACTTGTACTGTGATTTGACAACGGATGTGTTTGAGTACCTCGTAACGTTTCGGAGTTTGAACGAGGTGTACAAGCTTGATTAAACTAACGTGATTTAATTTTTATGAAGGAAACTCAAGCATGGCACTCAAACTTGGGAGAAATCGAGAATTTTTCCTCGTGACAGCTTGACGACCTCGACTCCAGACGAGTTCAAGATGGCGCCACCGGCATTTTGACACTTGCCCAAGATTCGTCAGCTGGATTTTACAACTGTTCCGAGCTTCGATTATTATGAGCAGAGAATTTTACGTTCCTTGTACACCTTACACTTATCAGGTAAGTGAATTGTTGCTTGTCATTTTTTGCAATAGTCGAACGTTGATACGAGTATGTCTGATAATCAGTGCTTCCTGCATCGCCATATCTTCTCAACGAGGATTCCAAATTATTAATTTTTTTCTCAAACCTTTAGACAGTTGTTTTCTTTCTTCTATACGTATTCTATAAATTTAAAGTTAAATTTAGATTTAAAAGTTGGTCGTTGAAAATAATTCCATCAAATCAATTATCAAAATTGTTTTTGATATATTTTTGATACAAGTAGTAACGAATGTAATTTCTCGACAGTATTATCAACACTTGTTTGGTACGAACAGCATTCATTACGTGAAATTCAAACGAAGCATTTATATACTGTATTGCTTGGGTATAATATGTATAACTCGATTTGTCACGATTCTTCTTGGTTATTTGTTTTTTAAAGTGAATCAAATGGTGTTTCGTAATACGACAATTCTCCGATTGTTATATCAATGTGAAACTCACAATACCAGTGGAGAAAAACAATGAAGGTGGTGTCAATGAAAAAGCGACGGTCGATAAAAGCCGACGGGTAATGTCAAATTCCACGATGTGAAAATTGACAAGTAACCCAAGGCCCACGCCTAGTTTTCGTGCATCTTCTCGTGGATTTTTTTGACTTTCGCTATGAGTAGTGAGTCCTCGTCGGAAAATGTATCGGAAAGTAATGCTTCTGTGGTGAACAACATACAAGGTACTAATGTTAGGCGTGTAAAAAAATTTGTTGCGAGCAACATAACCAGGAAGGTGAGATTTTAACTTTGACGTTTGGTATTAGGAAAATTAGATACACTAATATTTTCTTTATTTTTAATAAGTGTCCTAAATTTAAGTTTTTTACAAATTTGTAATTTTCCGATTATAATTCAATCTTATTAGATCGTAATTTACTTATTATCGTACTTATTACGATATATTAATTTAATTACTTCAAAGTGGAGCATCGTTATTTTAAAATAAATTTTAATTTACATTTTTTTGTATTTTTTATCATTTCGTATTATGTATGGTTTATTATCATATATTGAGTATCATTTTTGAATTTGTTGCTTTATATAAAGTGGTATTAATTTAAACAAATTTGAAGTTTGAAGAACAATTTTATAAAATCAGAAGGTAATGATTTATTTATCATTTAGAGCATTGTTTATTATCATTAATAACAAAATGTTATTTATTTGGTTATTTTTATCACTAGATGGTTTAATTAATATTCCATATTTTTTCTGCAAGAATGCATTTAATACAATTTTTATAAAGTTACATTTCTGGAACAATAGGTCCTATTAGGATTTGAAAAATTTGAAGAACATTTTCAACAGTGCAATTTTTTATTTATTACCATCTCTCCAAATTTTAGAGATATATAAATAATAAATATCGTTTAGATTCATGAGTAAATTTATTAAATGTATATTATATCTCTATTATTTCTAGATTTATTACTCTTTCTTAAATTTGCAATATTTAATAGTGGTGGCAAATTCCAAAAATTGAATATACTATAATATAATAATTGATTTATGTACTTTTATTAATATTTATTTGTCCAACTGGAAACAAGGTGCCATTTTGATATAAAGTACACGAAATTTACTTTTAAATTCATTTTATTTTATTTGAAATTAAAAAAAATACTTTTAAATCTAAAAAAGCAGCAAATTTGGAAAAGTGATATTCCAATGTATTTACCTAAGGTAGTAACCATACAAATTTTCGCAATCAAAAAACATTGCAAATAAACCGTCACGTGGGATCAATATGTTAACAATTCCGACGATTGTTGATCAACTTCTGTTTTCCGAGTTTAATTCCGATTTCGTGTAAACAAAGTGTTTTCAGGCACTTGTATTTGTTTAACAATTTGAAAGTTACACGTGTCGCGATATTTCGTCTTGCTTTTGAACGAAACCTCGTTTAGCGATCATAACGAACAGATCAGACGGAAGCTACCGAATGTCGGTTATTACCTGAAACGTTTGATGAGATCGAGAACCAGAGGGAGGCCCGGGTCTGAGAGGGAAGCGATCAGTGGCTCCTCCGACGTGACTGAAATCACGGAAAGCATGTTGAACCGCGCGATGCTAGAAGTCTCAAGTGGTAAATTGTTATCCTGAGGACATTAACCTAAGTATACCGTGAAGAGTTTATCTTCCATGGACAACGAAGTGTGATTTCTCTTTTAGGTTTAGATAATTAAACAGAAAACTTCCTTATCGTTTGATTATAACGTGTTAGTTTTTTTTGCTTATGCATGGAAAATGGTGTCTCATCAGATTACTTATTAAATACAAAATAAATACGTAAATATTCTATGTGTATTTCTTATACATGTAATTTTAAATAGAGTATATACTATTTATTAATTAATTAATTAATTAATTAATTAAATTAAATAGGGTATATAGTATGCCTAGTATACTCTATAATATAACCTATAATAAATAGGGTATTTATAAGTACGTATTTATTTGGTATTTAATAAGTAATTTATTACTCTTTGTATTTTAGATCTGTATTTCATTTTTTTGATCATTTTTTCATTTCTTTTTTGAAAAATAATTTTGAGATTTTGACACAAAATATATTCGGTTATTGCTTTTATTAGTTACGGTATTTTCAGATGGGAAAATAATTTCCATTTTAACTTCCATTTTATTTTATCCAATGTTTCATTTTACCCGCGAAATTCAAAAGGGATTAAATAAGAAATATTACTTATAGAATGAATCTGTTTGCTATTTATATCTACGTAATTATGATATATTTCATTGAATTATTTAAAGTGAGATGATACATAAGTGATACTTATTTATCATTTTTCATAGATCATACTGTCAAATATTATTTTTTACCAATCTTGCATATTTTCGACGATCATTTAATATATGAACAATTTACAAATTTCACGTGCAAAATTTCGCAATATGATTACACGAAACTGTGGTTACGTGTTGTCATTTCAAAATTGATACTCTTACTCGACAGTGCATACGTGTATCGCTTTCGATTGTGTTCGAAAAGTAAAATATCGGTAGCTACCACGTTCTTCGTACCTGTTTGTACAAAACTGTTGACGAGCTGCAATTTGTCAGTGTCGACGATTAACGAACAATCTATACCGGAAGATGGGGATTCGGTCGACTGGTTGGAGAACCATGTGCTGGAAACGAGGTGGTACGAGACCCGGGGTGACCCCTCGAATTATTTCGCGGGGCACGATCCTGAAGGACCTTCGACGTCCACCACGAGCCCCAGCGCCGACACAAGTACTCTTCATTGATTATGGGGCTAGGGGGCGCGGTGGTCGCTCTCATGCGGGTTTATCGATTTCGCTATTGAAATATTTCTGCTTAACGCGTTGACTGCCACGCACTTTTTATTTGGTGCGCTCAGGTGGCGTCCAACCTAACCTAACTTATTATTCTTAGGATATAATCGATGAATTATGAAAAAATATGATAGAAAAAAAGAAATAGCGTAAATTATTAATATTTTTTATTTATTTACGTTGTTCAAATTTTCACTTCAGAAAACGAATGAAATAAAACAAATATAAATTTGAAAAATTAGTATCGTTGGTGATTGATCACTACAATGGCAGTTGACGTGTTAACATTTCAATGTATTAACCTTTCAATGTACATTCAATTAATTTTCCGATATTTCCTCTTATTTCAATTTTTTTTTTTAAATTCTTCCTTCTTTTTCTTATCTATCAGTCATTTGATGGAGTGTTTTTTTAATGATTCATACTTTGTTTTTTTTCTCATCCTTTTCACACTTTCATCCGCGTTTGTACGTTTTTGGTATGATCGAATTTCGGTCGTGGGCCCTTTTAATAGATGATTTTGTATATTTTATTTTTGTTAATGGATAAATGATAAAATTGAATAAATATATTTGATGAATATTTAATATTTATATTATAATATAATTTATGTTATGCTATATTAGCTTAATATAAATCATAAATCGACATTTGCATAATATTTACGTCAAAAGTATTGACAATTTTATAATTTTGAATATTGGTAGATTATAAATATAAATCAATTTTTTAATTTAAATATTAATTCAGATATTGTATATAATAATAGTATATTGGAAATATTTTGATGTAACAATATAAACTTATTTCAGCTTAAATTAACGAAACAAATAACAGTAAATAATAATAATAAAATAATAAATATTTACCAGATATTCGGGTTCAATTTTAAAACAGCTTTATTTCTACCGTTTCTCTTTTATTCGAAAATTTTATTTCTCTCGTTGAAATTCGAGTTATCGAAGTTTGATTGTGCAATGAAATTTTTTCGAAAACGAAGCTTCGAATTTGATTGTGCAATGAAATTTTTCCGAAAACGAATCGTCGATTAAAAGATAAATAATTTTTTTTATTGGAAGTTTATCAACGAATTGGCATCCGGGTGGAACATAGATAACGCTCTACGTGAAATTGAACGTGCAATGAAAGTTATCGAACAAATTCCGCATGATTCACGAAATTATGCAATATGCCGAATAGCCTACCACAAACGTACAAACGTATCAATCATACCGTGCATTTATAACATTTAATTTAAACGCAAATTATTATTTACCATATTAGAATCGTTATATTTTATCATAATAATAATCAAGATAATTAAAAACTTATTATCCTAATTTATTATTATAATATATTTCCTTCCTATGTATCCTATATTTCTAAAGGTCTCTAATCAAAATAACTTTGGGAGTTAACCTTTTGCACTCGAGAGGCACCCTTCAGTCGCCATTTAATAAAATTTCGAAGATCGATATTAATTAATATATCAAGTTTAAGATAATGTAACGATATGAAAGGTATCCAAAATCAAATAATTCTACGCGTTAATTATTATACGATTTCTTATTTACTACTCAAAAAAATATCGTCATTTTTGTATAGCAAAAAATCTTTGAAACGCCTACTCTTCTTAAGTCAAAAA